CACACTTAAACAAATGTCAATAATTCAAAATGGCTAATTAAAAATTTAAAAAATAATAATAATAATAATAATAATAATGTCAAGTAAATCTTGAATGCAGTTATGCAATGACAACAAATTATTACATGATTTAAAAACATTAATTAATTTTTTGACACACATGCTCTCTCTCTCTCTCGCCCCCCCCGCCCGCACGCCCCGCGCGACGGTTTTTTGAAAAAAAAAAAAAAACAGGCACGGATTCAGGCTTTGCCACATTTGTTACTCTACTGAAAATGTCTCATATATATATACTTAAAACAAATCACAAAACGAGTTTAAAAATTAATTACCTCGTCGAAAAAAAATATTAATAATAATAATAATAATAATAATAATAAATAAAACAAAAATCATTTCGTAAAAAAATAAACGTGGCATTAGAAAATTACGTTTCATTTTGGCGACATAGTACTAGTGTTCCTCGTAATTTAATACATGTAAGAAAACCTTTTTTTTTTTTGTTTTCATATCGATTTTTCTTTTCTTTTCCGGTTTCGATAATATCAAAACGATTAATCAAGGTCATCGTTACATTATAATTTTAAACTCGTGATTTTTTTTTCCTTTTCTCTTTTCGTTTTCTTTTGTTTTTCTTTACGATTTTCTTTCTCTCTCTCTCTTATATCATTTTATCCATCCTCGCAAACTTTATCATTCTCTCTTCTTTTTTTTATCAAACCCGCGAAAAACAATTAAAAAAATCATAATCGATTCCGATGGAAACCAAGAACGGAACAATCGATCCTCCGCGGCAGACCTGTGGTATATACATACTCTCCGAAGTGTAAAAGAGAAGAAAGAGAGAGAGAGAGAGAAGATGAGAATAAGGAAAATAAGATGTAAAATGAAAAAAAACGAAAAAAAAAAAAAAACCAAAAATTCCGACATTAAAAATCGTGATCCACGAACTAAGAGAGAGAGAGAGAGAGAGATGACCGTGAGAGATCGGAAAGGAAAACCTTAACAGTAGCCGTTCAGGTTTCGTTTGTTTGTTTTTTTTTTGTTTTAAATCAATTTTCTCTTTCGCGTCTCTCCCCCTCTCCCCATCCAAAAAAAGGAAAAAAAATTCGATTCCCTGTAACGAAAAAAACATTTCCATTTGATTGAAAATTGAATCAAAACGAATTTTCCAGAATTTTTTTTTTTTTGTTAACGTACCACCGCGACACGCACACAACAACCGAGACACAAAAGAAAAACACAATCAATCGAACAACAGAATAATGAGAGAGAAAGAGAGAGAGAAAGAGAGAGAAATGGTAAAAAAAAGAAAAAGGAAAGAAACCAGCAAGGAAGGAAGGAAGGAAAGCACACCCATGAAGGCATGAAGGGTTTGCCGTTACCTGAGCTAAGGAGGTAGGCACGTCAAGGGGGGGGAGAGTTTCCATCACCACCACCGCCACAAAAGCCTCTCATCACGCAATTCGGTCATTTGTTTAATTAAGACGTAAAAACTGAAAAAAGTAATATTAAAAAAAAAAAAAAAGAAAGAAAGAAAGAAAGAAAGACATAATATAAAAATAAAAAATCCAACCCCCCATCCCCCCTCACTCTCTCTTCTCCCCCATTACCATCCGCACTCCATATTTCTAACGTCATAAAATCGTCAGAACAACTTTTCTCTCTTTCTTTCTTTCTTGTCATTAAAATAAACCTTCCAACGGAATCAAGAAACAATGTTGAGGTCGAGTCTCTAGAAACCTTTCCTTTATTATTATTATTATTTTTTCTAGAAAAAACCTTGACCGGAAACGACGAGTCTTTCAAATTTCTTCGAATAATAATACAAAAAACAAATAAAGTCGAGGTCGTTTATATCACGATCGAGACTTAACAAAAAAAAATTTTTTTTTTGGTTTTCGCAAGTACCTTTCGGTATACCTACCACCTCCTTCGAGTACCTACCGAAAACTATTTCCCCTTTCCCCTTCCTCCCTCCGAGTGCACAACCCCCCAAATACATATATTTTATAAATTCATTCGATTTCATTTAAATACAAAAAAAAAACCAGGTGTTCGATACGACATTTTCACCTTTAAACTATAAATTATCTTGTTTTGATACCGACAAGAGAGAGAGAGAGAGAGAGAGAGAGAGAGATGGGGGGGGGGAGAAAGAGAGAAAAGTATGCGCAATTTCGAAAAAAAAATGTAGCAAGCAACGATATCATATGACTCTGATCATTTTAATTAAAAATTAAAATTAATAAAAAAAAAAAAAAAAAACAGGTAAAAATAATTAATAAAACCCGCCGCGACGTTATACGTAAATTATTATTATTATTATGTTTTCGACTCGTAAACATTTTAGGTTAAATGCCGCCTCGATCCGCCGTCGTCGTTTTGCGTCGTCGTCATCGTCGTTGTCGCCACCGCCGACATTGCGAAAAAAAAAAGAAAAAAATGTCAATGACTAAACCGATAGATAGATAGAATAAATAATATTTTACTTGTTTCGACTTAATAAAACATTATTAATAATAATAATAATAAATAATTTGATTAATGGGACGGCCGAGAAGTAAAAGTAGTTCAACGGTCCGCCGGTTGGCCGGTTCGATAACATGCAAATACCAACATAAACGAAATAATTAATTATAATGTTTAATAATAATAATGATAATGATAATGATAATGATAATGATAATAATGATAATGATAATAATGATATAAATATAAGTGTAATCGAACGTGAATTTCGTTTTTTTTTTTTTTTTTTTTAACGGAAAAACGATGACAACGAATGACAAAAATTTCTTGTTTTCAAACCACCGATTTCGTGGCACGAGAAAAATTCACAAACAAAACGAAAACATTCAGTCACTCATCAAAACGTACCGTCCTCCGCCTTTTGGTTTCTTTTTCTTTTTCTTTCCTACAAATTTTCAGGTACGAAATCCTTTTCATAACTTGTCTACATAATTTAATAATAATAATAATAATTAAATGATTTCCGATAAATATATATATCAAATCTAAACGCATTTTAGGTAAATTTGAAAAAAGAAAAATGGCGTCTCGTCGTTTTGATTTTCCCTTTTTTATTCCCCCCCTCGACCCCTTTGACCGACCGAAAAGAAAATGTGAATTATACTATCGATCAACAATAATAATAATAATAATAATATTAATGGTTATAATAATAATAATAATAAAATTTTTAGTCAAAAGTTTTCTTTTTTTATTTCGCACCTTGTGCGTGTGTGCAAATCCGTCGTAAAAATTTTACGTGTCGGCGACATAAAAAAGAAAAGCAAAAAATCCCCTCCCCCTCCCCTCCGAAAAAAAAAGAAATAAACGAATAAAATTAACCGGAAATTGGATTCGAGTGCTAAAAAAAAACCCCCCCCCACGAATTTGTGTGAATTTTAAACCGTCCATTGGTAAAAAAAAATTTATTATTATTATTATTATTAGTATTATTATTTTTTTTTTTTAAATTTTCAAAAAAATCGTATAATTCGCAACGATTTAATTTTTTTTTCTTTTTTTTTTTTATCGTCCATTTTTTTATTTTTAAGAGAGATTTTAAAGATGAGCGATTAATCAATCAAAACTTGTTTTTTTTTCTTCTTTTCTTTTCTTCTTCTTTTCTTTTTCAAAATAATTGTTTTTAATCTCCTGACACGACTTTTGACCACGTTTGTTTCGAATTTATCTTCCTTATAATATTTCTTTCAAATTTCTTTTCTTTCTCTCTCTCTTTCTATCTAAACTTACAAATATGTCATTTTTCATTCCAATTTTTTTTCTTCTTCTTCTCGTTTTTCTTTCTTTATTCTTCTTCCGTTTATAATCCTTTTTTTTTCCTTTTTTTTTTCGTAGTCGTAGTAGATTTTACCTTCTTCTTTCTTTTTAAAAAATTTTTATTTGACTCACGTATTGAAATTTTTAAATTTAACCCTAAAAAGGTCATTCATCTCCCAACGTTCGATCGGAATATTAAAAAAAAAAACAGAGAGAGAGAGAGATATAATTTTTTTCTTTTCTTTTGTTGCATTACGTCGGAAAAGTACTTTGTCGGCTCACGACAACAACAACAACAAACACAAGAATTCATTAAAACCGTTGAGTTTGTTTCAATGAAAACAAACGTAACGTCACGGAATAACAGACAATTTAGCGTGCATTCTAAATAATAATAATAATGATGATGATGATGATGATTAGAAACGTATTCCTCGTTCGATATATCTACAGATGTTTTACTTCTACCGTTTTTGCCCCCCCCGACCCTCCCCCTAAAAAAAAAAAAAAATTAAAAAAAAAAGGAGACGCGGGTAAGTGGAAATTTGAAAAATGACTCTTGTAACCCTTTATCATTATCATTATCATTATCATTATTATTCTTTTCACGAGTGAATTTATTGCTTTACCCCCGCAAAACCTGAATCATGCACAACACATATGGAATAGAGATAAAAATTTTGAAATGAAAATTTTTACCCCATTTTTCACCCTTTTACTCTTTCTCTCTTTTTTTTCTCTCTCTCTCTCTCTCTCTCTCTCTCAATTACCAACTTCCTACGTCACTTATCAGATGTGACCAGGCGAAAGGGTAACTCGTAAAATTAACAAACTTTTCTACACATTTTCTTGTTTGCTTTTTAACAAATTATTCACGAAAATCTCTCTTTCGGAGCGGATACGATTTAACTTTCGAAGAGAAGAGGGAAAAGAAAAAAAAAACTGATGGACGCCATTGTTAAAAAAAAAAATTCCCTGTCATTTCTCTCTCTCCCCCCCCCTTTCTCTTCCCCTCACAATTTTCATCGACCTATCTTTTTTTTTTTTTTTTTCTGGAAAAAGAAAAAAAGAGGAGTGAGAGAGTGGGGGAAAAAAAAAGACGTTTCGTCGACGTTTTTTCGGTGAGTATGAAAAAAAAAAAAAAAAAATTTCGGATTCACGGCACGATTTTGAAAAAATAGAAGAAAATTAAAATGGAGGATGAAAAACACCGATGGAAGCAGTTAGCAAAAGAAGAAAAATACGAAGAAGAAAGAGAAGAAGAAGAAGAAGGGAATAAAAAAAAAAAAAAAAAAGAAATCTTCCTTGTCTTTTTTTTTCCTCCCCTCCCCTCTCCCTCTACTCTCTTTCCGATTTTCCATCATTTTTTCTTCCCTCGTCCAACCAAAATCAATAATTTTTTCATGTAAAACTTTTTTTAAACGATGATGACGTCATTGTTTCTTTTAAAATTTTCCGCCATTTTCTTTTTTTTTATAAATTAAATTTAAAAAAAAAAAAAAAATTATTTTTCTTTCTCTCCTCCTTTTTCCTTTTTCCTTTTTTTTTTTTTTACCAACCATTTTCCATTAATTCAAATCTAAATATTTATTTACTTAACATTAATCTGATTACTTTATCTCCTACCCCGACGATTCCAATTCCCCGACGTCAGAACGGGAAAAAAAAAAAAAAAAAAACATCAATCAATCCACACAAAAAAATTTTTTTTTTTAAAGTAGCTTTCCATTTTGACATTGAACATCAATATAATAAATAATTATTATTCTCCTTCCACGTTCATTAATCAAATCCTTGTACGTACTACACAACAACAACAACAACATATACGAATAATTATCGACCAAAAAAAAAAAAAAAAAAGTTTCTCTCTCTCAAAACTAAATGTTAATTAAAAAAAAAAAAACAGGAACGACAAAAAAACGCGAGGCCATCTTCTCGAATCGTAATAAAATCATCAGAAAACAAAATTTTTTCTTCTTCCCCGAACATAATTATCATCAATAACGCGAAGCAATGTAAAAGAAATAATAATAATAATAATAATAATAATAAAGTTCTTATGCTAACAAAAACCGGGAAAAATGAAAATTCAAATAAACGATTTTTTTTTAAAAAAAATGAAATCAAAATTTCAAAATGGCGTCGTTTGTTTATCTCTGAGTCAACTCACCACCGCCACCTTTTAAAAAAAAAAAATTCGCAACGTTTTTAATTTTAGGTTTTTATTCTCCGTACCACACGAATTAATTTAGGTAAACGTCGAAAATGGTACCTTTTAATAAATTATTTTAATAGGTTTCCACGAAATACCACAGAGAGAGAGAGAGAAAACACGTCAGAACCTTTACGGATCAACCATTGAAGAATTCGACAAAACGGAAACGATGTGAAGTTAAATATGTAAAAAAGATTTATGAAAAAGGAGGCATTTAAGGAGGGGAGAGAGAGGGGAAAAGAGAAACCGAACCGGACAAACAAAGTAGGACGTACACCATCTTTCGACACGGTGAGAAATTTTTACAACAAGACGATCGACATATCCTCCATATTAAATATTTAAAACATTTAATTAGGTGACCGAATGAATCACAACATATCATCAGTTCAAAAAAAAAAAAATTTTTGCCGTAAATCATCATCATCATCATCACGACCGTAGTCGTCATCGTCATCGTCGCCGCCATCGGCATTATTATTATTATTATAAAAACCAACAGGTACTTTATGACTCAACTACAATTATTTATTCCCTTTTTCTCTCTCTCTTTCTTTTTTTATCCCCCCCCCCCAAAAAAAAAAAAAACTTTAAATCAAATCGAAATTAACAACCGATCAACCTTAATGGCCACGTTTAAAAATAATAATAATAATTATTATTATTATTAAAAATACCTGGTTAATAAAAAAAAAAACTAAAATGTCTGACCTTTAAAATATTTTTCTTCTTTTTTTTAAATTTGATTTGATATGATTTGTGTGTCCACCGTTGTTGTTTGTTGTTTGTTGTTGTTTCTTTCTTTCCTCTATAAATTGTTTGTATTTGCTTCCAAGCTATAAAAAAAAATAAAAAAAAAAAAATGATCAATGATACTCTATGATTAAATAAATAATTACGTTGTAAACCTTGAGTTTTTAAATTCTGGTCTTTGGAAAATTATCAGAAAACTTTAATTTTCACCCAAAAAAAAAAAAAAAGAAAAAAAATTGTTTGGC